ACATTAACTGCTTTATCACTGTCTTTTTTTGTCTCTTGGGCCACACCTCTAGTGGGATTGATATTCTCATGAGCAAGCTAAAGAAATATGGTCTAGTTATAAACACTGCAAGATGGCTGCACTGTTGACAGGAAAAATATTTTTAAACAGTAGTTTTCAAGAGTAGAGTGTTTTCAAATAATTCAGTGTCAAGGTAGGAAGCCACTGCAAATGGCATCTTGCAGAGGTCTGTCCTAGACCATATTCTTTCTATTATTGGTTTAAATGAAGTAAGAGAGTACAGTTTATATAACTTTGAGATGAAACAAGCTGGGAGGGATTGTGCAGGAAGGATTTTGAAGGAAGAATCAGAGTCCAAAATCTGTTACAATTCGGAAAGAGGGCCTGAAGTAAACAAAATTAAATGACTGAATGGTTAAAACAGCAATGGGGACAGCAGAGGCCCAGACTGCAGTCTCTGCTCACAGAACTGTTTCTGTATTTTCTATAAAATAGCCAATGGAAAAACAACATATAAAGGGTCTCTGTGGGAGCCAGGGAGGTGGAAGAAGGGAGGAGAGGAAAAAGCCAGAATCCTGTTTTTTCCTTAACCAGGAGGCTATATTGTCAGGCCCCCACCTGACTCTCTCTGGCCTAATGAATCTTGCATTCCTTTTCAGAAAGTGGCAGAGCTTTAATGGGAGTTGGGAGAGGGTGACCCCAGCAAAGCCAAATATTGCCTACTGGTCAGAGAAGCATTGTGGGAAGTGGCAGATTCAGCCTTGAATCCTTCTAGGAAGAACTGTGAATTGAACACAAGCTCTACATACCTGTGATGAGTGCTCTAGCAACTAGGCAGTTATATAATGGAGGGTACCACCCCCTGTAAGTGAATACTAAAAGAATTACACCGTTCTTTGGTGGAGAAAAGGGAGAAGCCATTAAAGCTGTACAAAAGCTTTAATGGCCATTAAAGCTGCACAGTCAGCAGTGTATATGACTTTAGTATGTAACAAGATAAAACACCTCTGAAGTGCTCTAGTTTGCTACCTAATGAAGTGCAACAGTGCACAAGATGCTGGAAGCTGATGTGCTTGGGGCTTGGTGGGCCCCATGAAGCTCAGGGGCTGTGCAATCCAGCAGCAGCCCATGCAGACAGGCTTCACTGAAGGAAAAAAAAAAGCAGTGAGCCTGATCTTTTTTTTCTCTCACTCGCTGGAGCCTGTCCAGGGCTGTGTGGGGACCCAGTGCTTCCTTCTGTGACTGTGAAGGGGAGATGCTTCCTTCCATGGCTTTGGCACCCCCTGGGACCACCTAGATCAGGTCCTGGTGGTCATGTGCCTTCTGGGGGGCCCCCACTCTGCCACCAGAGACTGCTGTGCCCACCAGCAGCTGCTCACCCCCCCTCCCTGCCACTGAAGAGGCAGGTCAGGATAT